CGATAGATCTTTGATAGGAAAGAAGGAGCTAACCACACCAGAGCACCCGCCAACCACCCACTTGGCAGCACGAAAAGCAAACATTTTTCAAATGTTTGCACGATTTTGACAGTTCAGAAAATTCTGATTATGATATTTTAGACCATGGGGATCCTGATTTCAATGTAAATGAGCATCAAAGCGCTGGCTCTGATAGGGAATGTTCTAGATCTAGACTAGGCTTTCAAATGCAAAATTCCGTTTGTCTGGAGCCCTGTTTTTTTTTTCACACTGAACTGGCTTAGTTCAATTTGAAACACAAAAACACTTGAATAAAAAACACACACAAGATTAATATTTGGGTTTTTTTTTAACATAAATTTTGGCGTGCAGCTAGTTTTAGCACATTTTAACCATAAAAGATATTGCCTTTCTTTTTTTTTTTTTTGTTGTACTGGCCATGTTTAGATCTGTTATGTGTGTAAATATGGTGGTTGTATGTTTTTGGGAAGGGTGTTGAACTGTTGTTTGAATTATTGAAGTAGCCCCCAAAATGTCAGTCTTCAGCGTATGTAGACCCGAAAAAGGCCCAGTCTCCTGTGAGTTAAAGATCCCATGTTGTGATACGTTGTTATAAATAAAATGCTCTCATCCCGACACCCCATTTTAGGAATGTTGTAATGTGTACACCAAAATTTTAATTATAACAAAATAACTACGAAATGGTTAGTAAATCGGACTGCAGAAATGATTTAGAAATTTTCTCAACCCAAAATAAAAACTCATTGGGTAGCCAAGTTTCTTTCTAATCAGTGCTTCCACTCTTCTGTATTTTAACGGAAATCCATACTTTCTGCCAGTTCCGTACTTGTTCCTCCATCATTATCAATTCCCTCCGTAAAAAGCTGCGACAGCGTAGGACTACCGAAATTCCGTAGCAAAAGGTCCGTACTTGCCTTCGTATAGTCTTGTACTAGTATAAGTTATGGATTTCTGCATTAAGTTATTGTTATAGAAACCTGCCAGATTGCACATTTCCTGCAATCAGCCATTATGATTATTCCGCTATGCCCCATGCATTCATTGCGGGCTTGTCGGCAGTACATTTTTACCTGTGGATTGATCACAATCTGGCGAACTTTTTGTGCCAATTTCCTTCCTCCTTTCTATCATACACTCTTTCCGTCTGTCTTCGGATTGTTGCCGCGGCTGGAAAATCTGCGCGTTGATCAAGTAGTGATCTTAGACAGAAAATTACTGTCAGAAAGAAACTTACAAATTTGTCAATACGAAGATTCTACGGAACGGGAACGCCATAAAAGGGCCGCGATGAGAGAAATGTATGCTAAAACTACTGAAGTCAAGAATAATTCGAAGTGGTGTTCCGAGGTTGTGACATGCGACATGCAGGCGTGAAATTTAAGGAAAATTAGGCAGGTAACTGGGGTGTGAAAGTACATATCTTCATTATTCCCAGGTTTGCCTTCTATCAAATGGTGCGATGACAAATTAATTATATTATAGTAGCAATGGGAGGGGAACCTGCTTTTAAACATTGCCACCAATGGAAATGCAGATCTTGGCGAAGAAATTAAACAAGACAAAATGTTAATGAAAAAATAAATGTTATGGTTTGCAGGCAATCTCTTCAAACAGGCTCCCAAATGCCATTTTCAACCCTTTAAAGGCCTTAAATTTCAATTTCTTCGGGGCTTCTCCCCCTGAACCCCTACTGGGACGCTGCCCCTGGACCCTGCTGAATTTTACTTACTTTTCAGCTTCAGCTGGTGGAAGCACTGCTAACACTCCTCTTAATTATTGAGAAATAATCAATTGTCGATTTTCTTACAGAATCTGCTATTGCGTGGTCCACTTTTAGAGTATTTTCCTATATGTGGGTCATACATTTTATGCCGACCTTTACAACCCCTGAACTTTTTTATTTATGAACCGATTCTTAAAATTCAAAAAGCTTAATTCTTAAAATCAAAAACACTATTAGGTACCAAATAAAAAAGGGCTAAAGCAAAAAATGAAATTTTTATTGGCTTTGCTTCATTGAGTCTACGCAGGGCAAAGAAATCTATGCTAAAACTACTAAAATCAAGAAAAATTTGAAGGTGTGTTCCGAGGTTGTGACATACGACATTCAAACTTGAAAATGGAGGAAAATTAGGATTTACGTTGGGTAACTGTATTGTCAAGGTATGTCTCTCCATAAGATACAAAGTTGTATATATAGCTAAATTACGTATTGGGTATGCCTCTGAACTCTCTGACAAACACCTCCTGCATGGTGACGATAAAGCATTTTGTGTCAGATGCGATACCAACCTAACGATCCTGCACTTTCTATTACAGTGGAAACGCTATAAACAGGCCCAGTAATAACAGGGATCCGGTTATAACGGATTTTTAAAATCCCCATTTTGTTTCTAAACTTTGTCTCTATTAACCCTCTGCATGCACATCACGACCAGGTCGTCAGGTCGTGATGACTCATACCTCCCTTCCGCGCGCATCGTGACCACCGGTCGTGATCCGACATGAGTGTAGAAACTATACCGCTGACATGATATAGCCATTTTTTAAACTGTTAGTGGCTACAGTCCACCAGTGCAACGTTTATTGGTGCCGCTGGCCACGCATTTCACAGTCCGGGATCGGTTGGGATTTTTTTATCGGCAATTTTCTGGGATATTGTTTACCGTTTTCAAAATATCGGATTCGTCAGCTGATTTAGACTCAGATTTACCCAACATTTATCTGGAATCGGACCACAGTGATAAAGAGTTAGCTGAATTAGGTCCTCAAATAAAAGATTTAGATCTACATGTGAATGATGGGGATATCGTGTCATTGATCTAAATCTAGATCTAGCAAGGTTAAGCCCAGAAGGGGACGTCAATCTTCCAGCTGATCTCCAAGCAGGCTGGACTAAAAATGATGAGGATTTTGATACCAACAATAACATCATCATTAAAAAACACATCTGACCAGACATAAGGGTAGTTCGTTGTTTATTAAGACACATTTTTCCTTCTTACTGTAATTAGAAATGATAAATAAGAAAGATATGAGCTTTTTTATAGCCATGTTGAAAATTAACATTTTTCTAAAATAGACCTAGCACTTAATGATAAAAATGGCTTAGCGCTAAGAGGGTTAAAAGTGATTGGCTATAACAGGGCCTCATCGGAGCCAAATCGGTTATAGCAGGGACAAAGGCTCGTTAACAATGTGTATAAAGTAAGAGAGAGAGAGAGAGAGAGTAACACTTTTTGATGGAGCAAGCCACGCCACTGCAAGCTCAAGCCGCGGGTGAAGGGAGAGATGGTTATGAAGGTTACTAGGTGTCTCTCTCTACACACAGTGCTTCCAATCTTCCGTTGTTTTTTTGTTGTTGCGGAAATCCATACTATCTGACACCATCATTATCTATTCCATCCGTAAAAAAGTGCAATAGTGTAGGGCTAATATGATTCCTTGTATCACCCTACATAAATGAAGGATATTTTATGGTAATTCTCTCTGCAATAAGTTAACGTTATAGAAACCTACCAGATTGTGCGTTTCCTGCAATCAGCCATTATCCCGCTATGCATTTATTGCGGGTTGGTTGGCCGCTATGCATTCAATGCGGGTTGGTTGGCAGTACATTTTTACTTTCATTCACTCATTCTTTTTGTCTATCTTTGGATTGCTGCCACAGCTGAAAAATCTGTCAGTTGATCCGGTAAATTGACTTTTGATTTCAGAAAGAAAATCACTATCAGAAAGAAACTTTTTTTTTCTAGTTTGTCTAGGTCCAAAGAAATTGTCAATGCAATGATTCTACGGGAGCTTAATAGGGTCCACAGTGAAAGAAATGTATGCTAAAATTATTAAAATCAAGAATAGTTGGAAGTGGTACTCCAAGGTTGACATTCAAAAATAGGACATGAAAATAGAGGAACATTGGGGTATATGCTGGAGAACTGTATCGTCACGGTACAGGTCTATATTCATTACGGGGGCTCTCGTGGCCTAGAGGTTAAGGTGTTGGCCTCTCATTCAAAAGGTCCTGGGTTCGAATCCGGGTAGCGACCGAAAAATTTTCTTCTCTAAATTTGTCTCCTTTCACCTCATTTCCTGCTCTCTAGCAATGTTCTGTCGTCTGCTTTCGTCTCCTCTTTCTGCCCCCACCCCCTCACCTCCTTTGCCCCTTCCTCTGGGCTCCTGATTCTTTCTGCAGCCTTTCTACTGCTACTGCTTCGCTTCTTCTCACTGCTGTCTTTCAGCCACACCCCTGATCTTCTGGTAGGAAAGATCTATACCTAGCCTTCTCGGACAATGGCAAAAAATCTCTGAGGGCCCGTGTGCAAGTTGCGCACGTTAAAGATCCCTTGGTGGTCTAAAATCGATAAGAGTAGGCTTCGGCCGCCACCCGGGCAAAATTCAAAATTTCCTACTAACTGAAAATATTAGGTGTGTCTCGCGCGCTCATCTGACCTTATGCAGTTGCGAGCGCCGTGAAACACTTTACAAAAACAAAAAACAAAAAAATATTCATTACTCCCAGATTTGCTTTCTGTCAAGTGTGCAATGACAAATTAATTGAATTATAGTAGCAATGGCAAGGTGAACCTGCTTTTAAACATTGCAGGGAAAGATATTTAGGTGAAGATATCAAACAAGAAACAATCTTGGAGGGGGAAAAAAGTGTTCTGGGCTGTTGGCAATGCCGCAGTCTCTTCAAACAGGCTCCCACATGCCATTTTCAACCCTCTTAAAGCACTTAAATGTCAATTTTTTCCGAGACTTCGACCCCCCTGAACCACCACTTGGATGCTTTCTCTGAACCCTGCTGAATGCAAAGTTTTTGTGGAGAGTTTTTTTTTGAACAAGTGAAATTTAACTTAGTGTAAGTTCATGCCAGAAGATTATGAGTATAACTGGCTTTGGGTGAAAATGTGGGCTTTGTTATACAAACTATACATCTCTTGTAATGATAATGTTGAACAATTTTATTTCATCCTCAGTGATCATCCATGATGAGAAGTAATAATCAGTGATTGAGGAAAGTTATAACCTGTAAAGTTCGGAAAGAAGGAAGAAGCCATGGCTGTAAGTATTAATATATGACATATTATGATATATATATATATATTAATGTCAAATGAATATACAATTTTCTAGTTTGTTTATTCATTGATGTCCTCTCATGTGATACTATTTTTACCAACCAATTCAGTATTGTCTTTAGTTTTTTTTACTGGACTAGGGGAGTTGACCAAATGATTGCCTTCATCAGCGAGGTGTTGGCCCTAGCAGTTTGGGTGGAAGCAACCCCCACCGTTAAAGATCTAAATTGTGTTAATGCAGGCATGAAACATGCTACAATTACTTGTTAATAAGTAACTTACTGCTCTTCATTTGGCCTTAAATCATTTAATGTGTTAATTATTTTAGTTGTAGTGAGTTTATTTTCTAATTAATTTCTTTATATAATTGATTATCGTGTTCCCATGAACTGTAAAGAAAACAGGTGATTCCTGTGGCAATAGGAGATACGTGTTCATTTTGTTCATTGGTAACGATAGTGCAGCAGCTGCTCAGTAAAAAGCTTTCTATTCGATTTTATGTTTCAATCCTTTCTTTCTTTTCTTTTTTGTGTTTCAGTCTTTGTTTAAAAGTGGATCTTCTAGGAGGTAAGATTATTTTTCTTCAGTTTCCCATTTGCTACTGTTGTAGTTGTTGTGGCTGTATATAGCTCCTTTCCCCTTTTTTTGCTGATTCAAATATGAAATTTATAAAGGGTTGTTGAGTTTATGCATGCCGAATTTATGAAGGGTTGTTGAGTTTAGGCATACTGGCATGTAAGTACCCTGAACCTTGCTTTTGACTTTCCACTTCCACCCTTGCATTTTTATTTTATGCTATTATAATGTCGCTGTCTAAGGTGATCACTTTTCACTTCAGCAGTGAGCGATTGTCTTAGACAGGTTCGACTGTATTTATAAGCTCTTCATCAGTTGTCAATAATCACAGGAAGATACCCTACTTTCAGACTATTGAAGACTCACAATCGGTGGAAAATGCTATTAGTTTCATGTCAGGAGGGCTCTCAATATTTCGTCATATACTTCCTAAACTTGAAATCTGCAATGAAAGGTGTGTAATGGGTTTGTGTCTTCGTCACTCGTCACTGATGTATTCTGATTCAGAGGATAGGATGTGTGGGACACAATGATGGCACTTTGAATAAAGATAGGGTTTTTTTTGCCTTTTCATTTGATTTTTCCTCATCTTTAGCAACCCAGGGTTTTTGAAGAGTTACTTTTAAAACTGGTCTTGAGTTTGCAGTTATTTAAAAACTTTTGTTAGAACTTTTGTGTTTTATTATGATATCTGGTGAATTACAAAAAAGACTGAGTTACAGAGATTGTTAGCTGACTGGCTGATATTGGCTTTTTTTCTACAGTAAGAAAGGAGAGGCACCTGGAAAATTGAGGATTGTGATGAAAGGATTTTCTGCAAAGTCGAAAGGCAATGACAAGGAAGAGGACAGTGACAACTCAGAAATGGAAGATGTTTCTGACAGTGGCGTTCCAGAGCATCAGCCTGAAGGTCTGATGATTAAGATATTTTTTACCCCATTATTTCTTGTTTTCTGTTTGGAAATCGCGCGATTGTCTGTGGTTTTTAACCATAATGGTAGCGAGCACGGTTGACTTGGAACACACAAAACTAGAATTCATGGATATGTTGAACTGTATGCCTTCCCTGACTGAACCGTTATATTTTCTTTTTATTGGCAGCCCTGTTTTCTCGAACAGCTGCATTTTATCTCAAAAAGGCCTATCACAATTTGCTTCGCAGTTATCTCAAATTCAAATGGCCCTGTTGGCAAAATAAAACGAACCCAACAAAAACACATCCATCATCATCATCGTGAAGAGTATCAGATTACCCAGGCCCAGCAGGCTTACCCCCTCACAATGGTGGTACTGAGATGCATCGGAGCACTATAACTTGAATCTAGTCATGTAAGAGTGGGTACTGGATGGTGGGGTGTAAATGAAAAGAGACGGTGTGGCTTTGCATTGGGCGGTATGGTGTGTGAATTATGTTTGTGTGTGTGTGGTTGTTTGAACATGAGCGTATGGGTCAGGAAGTGATGTTGTTATTAATCCAAGTTTGGAAGTGAAATTCTCTGACCAGTGTCGTCAACTTGTCTTGACTGGGATCTGACTTAAGAGCAAGTTTTTTAGGCGTAAGGCTCATCTGCATAACTTTCTTCCTTTTCTTGCTTGAACTCCAAACAAGGAGCAGGCTGTATCCATCATTCTATCCTTTTATTTACATTTGAGGTATTTTTCATAATTACTGTGATTTATTTTTGAACAATCATACTGTCACAGATACTTTCCTTTTGTTTTCTTATCTATCTCTAATTTTTCACTATCTCAGTTTACTCAAGTATAGGATGTGTTAAACATTTGTCAAGCCCTGGTGTGTTCAAGATATCCCTGCTTAGTTTTATGTACTCTTCAATGGAGACAGCAAAGAGGCTCTGGATGTCTATTATAGCAAAAGGGATGAAACTGGCTGTGCTGTCAACCTCTATTTTATCAGTTTGAAAAAAATGATTGTTACTTTTACATTTTTATTCAGGCAACGTAGCGGTGGAACCAGAGTCTGGGGAAGATGCTCCAGTGAAGAAAAAGAAAGAGGGTAAGTGTTGATAACAGGTGTGCTTATTTGTAAAAATTGAAACCTATTTGTTGAAGGAGAGGTCAGTTTTGCTTCCGTTTTAACTCGGTAATACTGTCGACATTGAGCAACCAGCATCAACTGGACTGGACTATATGTTTTTGAATCATGCTTGTGTTAGCCTGTATAGATATATCTACTGTGGGGTCCATTAAAACTGATACCTGCAGGATGGCTGGATTTTCTTCAATTTATACATGATTTCGGTTTAGAGAGATTGCTCTAATTATGAAGAAAAAAAGAGGGGATTGTATTTTCTTTTGGTTTGCCACTGTTTCTTTTATTAACCGTGTACGGTTTTAGTGGACTTCACTGTTTGTATATAAAATTTCACTTCTTTAATGGTAGGTGGACTATATCTGAATATTTTGTATGCCTTTGTATGTGCATATATTTTTTTATTTTAATGTTCACACCACATGTATGAATTTGCTTCAGTTTGTCTTTTTACCACAACCTTAATTCCTTTACAATTCAATGTGTAGCACTTGCATATTTATATAAAATATGTCATCTAGGTCAATTTAAAACATGGCCCGCTCTTTTTGGAAATCTAGGTGAGCATTAAGATGGATCCCAACTTAAGAAATCAGTGAAGTTTGTGGTAGCAGCAGAGAAGTTTTAGCGATATAAAGTTCATTTTGTGAAATTGGTGCTGATACCAGGTTATGAGGTGACAGAAAGAAGAAAATCATTAATTCATGGCCCACTCGCGCCCCCATGTTCTCCAAGTTCTTTATCAAGTTTGATCATTTGATCAGCTTAACTGTCTTCCTCTTGTAACAGTGGGTTGGTTTTTTTTAAGGGACTGCTAGTCTATCTTGCATTGTTACCTGCTCCTATGCTGTTTCCCTCTTTTGTGGGTGGTTGGCGGGAGCTCTGGTGTGGTTTGCTTCTTTCCTATCAAACATCTATCATCCTTATCTCCCTTTCTTTTTATGTTTGTTACTCTCTTGAACACCTCTTATCTTCTCGCGCTCATATGACCTATGCTGTTGCGAGCGCCGTAAAACCTTTACTAAAACTAACTTTCTCTCTTTGTCCTGCATCTTGTGAGAATTACATCCAACTTGTTGATGTTAATTTCACTCGGATCATCTCCGTTGAATAAAAAATACAACGATGATATTAGTGACAGTTGTTGATATGCTTCTCTCGCTTGGATGATTCAGTTTTTTTAAAAACCTACAAAATAAACCAGTGATAGAAACTGTCGCTGAGCTTCTTTCACGCTGATGATTTCAGTTTTTAAAAACCAAAGAGACAGTTATTTTGTGAAAAGCCTCTTTCACTCAAGCAATTTCAGTTTTTAACAAAGTGGTATCAGTTGGTACCCTTGTTAGTGTGCTTCTCTCACTCAGATGAATTTAGGAGGTGTGAAAATATTTACATTTGAGCTGGTAGCTCATTGTTTACTTCTCTCCACTGTTATTAGAATAGCTAGGTTTATTCTACTGTTTAACTTTTAAATAACTGTCACAGTGTCGTTTTATGTGCTTCCTGTGTCATCAGACCAGTGGTGGGTGGTTGTTCTCGTGTGGTATGCTCCTTTAAAAAAAAAAAATCCAAACACCTGTCATTCTTGTCTCTCCTCCACCTTTTCGTTGTATGTTACTCTCTAGTAACACCTCCAGTCTTTGGCGCTTATATGACCTACCAGTGTTGCAAGTGTTGTGAAAGTCCTTCAGAATACTAAAACTAAATACCTTTTTTTTTTGTCTTTTAGCCCCAGTCCGTATTGACACATCGGTCCTGGACAATGTAAGCTGCACTGCATGTGGTCGTCAGCTCAACCCATACAAGGGTAATGCTTTACAAAAGCATCCAGCATTAAAAGTAGTCATTTGCAAGGTAAGAATTTTTTCACTTCGCCCCTCTCAAATGGATGTGCTACGCTCTTTGTCTTTTTTTTTCAGGAGCATGGGGAAAGAAACAAAAAATGTACTTTGTTTTCATATTTCAGCTTTTCAGAATGGGCACCTGGTGTGATTTCATCAAAGGTTCATTGTTATGCGATAGTGTGTCCCAACCTGATTTGATAATAAAGTTACACACAGGACCAATTGTTCTTGGTGAATGTCAGTATGACATAATACAACTGTGTTTCCAGCTTAGAAATACTGACATTGTTCTCGAATTGAGTAGTTTTAAAGTTGTGTTAATTTCAGCTTACATATTTCACTTTGCACTTACCTGTTTTGTTGAACAATTTTTCTTCTTGATTTTGTTGAGGATAACATTTTTCGTATGTTTCTTGTTTCTATTTCTTTAGTTTGCAGTGGTTGGTTGGAGGGTGCCTCTGGTAGGATCTCACTACCCGAATTTCTTTTCTTTTTCTTTGTTGTTGTTGTCAGTCATATTTTTTCCCAGCAATAAATTACTTTTGAAGAGCCAATGTTCTTCTCTTTACTCAAACAAACAAAAACAAACAGTTTTGCATTCTAAAAATGCTGCTGACTGCATATATATGCGTGTTGTATTATTTTTTTTCTCAGCGCTGTGATAAGTTCCTGTCCAGTGGAGACATTGCAAAGGATAAAGATGGCATTGACGAGCAGTGTCGCTGGTGTGGAGAGGGTGGGAGGCTGGTGGTGTGTGATGAGTGCTCCAGTGCATTCTGCAAGTCCTGCGTCATGAGAAATTTCAATCGCTCTGAGTTCAACAACATCAGTGAGTCATGGCAGCAGTGTGATATTACTTTAATGTCCCTTTTTCAGATAGATCGAGAGTTTTTGAGACGCGAAAAGTTTTGGGTCTTTTGTTATTGCTTTTCTTCTGAATGTTTCTTTCATTTTGTACTTTGAGTTCTGCAAGTCTTTTAATACAGTAGTCTCCGCCTAAGATCCCACCGCTAATGATCTCGGTTCGCCTTAGGTCCCGCTGTTTTAAGAAAACAGATTTTTACTACACAAGTCTAAGATCCCTCTCGGAAGGTCTGCATTCGGCTAAGATCACGCATTTCAGATAATTATTTATGGGGGAAAAACTCGGGCGGGCTCAGCTCATCAACTAAGAGTGAAAATTTGCGATCATTGAGCTGCCCGTTGTGTCACAGATCAGCCACTCCCGTGAATGTGATCACATGTGCGGTTTAAATCTTTTCCCCAGATGGGGTCACACCAAGGTGTGAGCACGCCAACGCGTTTGTTTTCTCCAATCATCGCACTCTCATTTGAGCTCTCCTCCTAAACTTATATCACACGCTGGGTGGGTAGGGCCTATAAGTTCTCTTCAGGCGGGATCACATTGAACTGTGAACTCTTCCCTGACCATTGCAGCAGTTGTCTCCCGAATTTGCGAGACTAACTGAATTTTAATTTGTGTGGTCACAACACAATGGTGCATAACGACAAAAGCAGGGAACTCGGTCCGAGATGGAAAGTTATTAATTTTAGACATGTAAAGGGGAGGAGCAACTGGATAACTGTAGATCTTGAGACTCTGGATGCTTCATTCCGTTGTGATTGGTCATCAAGGTAGACCACTGTCTGCTTGCCATAAGATATAAACCCACCTGGGGGTCACGTCAGTTCATTTTAGAGTAAAGGGAGAACATATTTTTACCGGTTGTGAGCCTGAATATAGGTTACCATGGATTCTTCTCTTGGTTCGTCGGCTAAGATGCCGTTCGCCTAAGATCCCATATTTTCCTTGCTCCCGGGTTCTGGGATCTTGGACTAAGACTACTGTATTATGTTTTATGTTCAGTCAAAAGAGGATGTCGGAATGCTATACTGTTACAGCTTTGATGTGTATCTTGCGCTCTGTCCTAAGTACTTGCTTTCTGAGATGGGAAGTGCAGATAGAAATGTGATAACTTTCGTCACTTTAAAGATAAACTAAGAATGGATAGACTGAGAGGATGGAATGAGTTGTTTGTTTGTTTGGGGAGTGGGGTGCCTTTTAATTTATTGCTGTGGCTGGTTGGAGGGTGCTATGGAGTTGTTTGTTCCTTTTCTATCAAACATCTATTGTACTTATCTATCCTCGCTCTTTTTTGTGTTTGTTACTTGCTTGTAACATCTCTAATCTTCGGCACTTTTATGACCTAATTGTGTTGCGAGTGCCAAAAAAATCTTACTTAAACTTAAAACTAATTTGTTGCTCCTTTATCCAGCCGACAATAAGCAAATACTACAATCCACATACTTCATTAATTTGTTCTTTTTTCAGTTTAAGTAACTCTGGTCCTGCGGGGTTAATCGGAGGATCGTTCTTACCGATCAATGACCCACTTACATCGCTTGTGAGCTTACGCCGTGGGGAGGTGGGGTCAGACATTGATCAGGCAAGCGTGCCGCGGGAGTCAATAGTGAAAGAACAATGAAAAACACGCTTCATCTTTCTAGCAAATTGATTGGATCTATGAATAAGTGTTACGACCGCATGAGTGATCCTCTTTTCCCCTCGTCGGTTGCTTTAGAACCCTGCTGAACATTCTTCTGAGAGTGGAAGTTACACTAAATCGAATAACTTTTCCAGATTTCACTCCTGTTTTAGACTTGTGAACAGCCGCTTATCAGTTATCGTTCGAAAGGGGGAAAAAGGGATAGTTTCCGAATATTTTTTCTTTCAGTTGCTCTCAAATTTCTCCCTCTGATAAACCATCAAATATGATTATTTGCATCTTGAAACGGCGTTTTGTGTAAAAATGAGCTCGTTTGAAAAGCGTGAAGAGGTGTTTGAATTGAAAGATGAAAGTCTTTTTTCCTGAATATCCTTTTGAGTTCCTCAAGTGTCTAACTCGGTCAAAATGCTCATATTTCATTGGATGAACATCTCTACCAACGCTTCACGTTTCAAAACAAAGCAGAAAGTTTCAGAAGGGCACACAGGCACTAGCAGACTGACTCGCACACATTTTAAGGTAAAGATGCAGACCCGCTTGAAACGAAATGTCATAACCCGCGTGGGGCGACAGACTGATCCGGGACCAGCTGGGGGGAACCGTGCGCGGGAAGGTGCTTATCAGTGAACATTTATCCAGGACCAAAATCTTAAGAGTTGATATATCATAAGTTATTTTAATGTGAAAAAGTAAACATGCAGTAGGTATAAAACACAACAGGGCTCACTTTTCATAACAGTGTGAAAATCAGTTTTCAGTCTTTCATGGCATAAATGTTTTCTGTGGTCACATTATTGGCAGTTGCTTTCATGGATGCTGAAGAGCATTTGTGAGTTCATTTTCTGTGTACATGTTGGAATAGGACTCGATTGCACCCACATTTCAAATTATTTGAGCCTTCATGCTGCCTTTTCAATGCCATCTAAAAAGCTCTTGATTTTTTACTTGTGTGCTAGAATCTCAAATTCAATGCATTCACTCGTCATCTCTTTGGTCAGGTTGAGAATAAATGGGATAGACTTTACATGTTTCTAAAGAGTTTGAATAATGACTGTACTATTAGGATAACTTCACGCAGTCCCTCAGGACCACTTTCCATTCTGCATTGATTTCCTAGGGTTCACTGATGTCGATTTTTAGGGAGAGAGAGATAATTTGGATTTTGCTGCCACTCCAATCTGCTACTTTTTCCGGGATTTCCAAGCACTGGTTTTTTTGTGTTGGCTACTGTTATTGAAGATCTAGACTTCTTTCATTGTTGTTCAAGTTCATTCTTGGATGTTGCCTTCATTTTTCAGTGTACTGTTATAGTTCCTGTTTCATTTATAGATTTTTGCACCTTCTTTTTTAAGTACCGTAAAAAAATTTTTGTCTTATTGCGTACACAGATGGTCAGTCGAAATGGCGGTGCTACCTGTGTGACAAGGCGCCTCTTCAAGGTCTCAGAGAGACTTACAGAAACATCCGTGACACCCTCAAGGCCCTGCAAGCTCGTGACAAGGCTAAGGCTGCTGCCGCCGCTGCAAGTGGAAATGCACAGCCCTCCAGCAATGGTACGAAACGAACGGGAAAGTCAAACGATGCTGAACTCTCGAAGAGTGCAGTTTCTACTTCTTCCTCTTCCTCCTCAGCAAAGAAGAATGTTCAGCAGGATTCTAAAGCAAAAAACTCTGCGTCCTCAAAAGAGGCTGCAGATTCAAAAAGAGGTTCAGCCTCTCCTGATAATGACCAAGATGTAGCTTTGTGTGCTAGTGACCTGAAGACTGCTCCTGAGAATGTGGATGTGGTGATGGACAAGCTGTCCACAGCGACCAGCACTTTCAAAGAGATGCTGAGGGCACTGCGTTCCCAGTTCCACAGCACCAGTCCTCGGGCAGATGAAGAAGATGCGACTCCTATGTTCCACTTCTCGTTGAGCAGCAGTATGAGTGTGACAGAGAAGAAACGCTGTTGTGCCAAAGCCCTGAACAGCAGCCTGCATACCTATGTAAAGTCCCTAAAAGCTATACTGACAGCTAGTGATAGTAAAGGGCAAGCTCAGGACAGTTTTAACACCAAAACGGGTGCTGATTCTGCGGAGCAGTCCGAAAGTGCGACAACAACCAGTGAACATCAAGAAGATGGTGAAAAATCTCTGACCAGTGCTAGTGCTAAGCAGCAAAGCAACAGTGCGGAGAAGGCCACTGCTGGAAGAAAAACGATTTCGAGATTGCCATTCACTTCTTCTACTTCTTCCAAGTCTAGGGCTGAGAATGTTTCTTCAAAAGTGTCACCTGTTTCTATGAATGGAACAGACAGCGACAGTAGGCAGGATCGGGTGAGCAGCAGAAGCTCTGAGGATTTGCCTAACTCTGCAAAGAAATCAGGGGGAAGGACACGAAACAGAACTGGTTTAGACTCTCTGAGTGATGACTCTGATGATGATTCTAGTAAACCAAAGCCAAAGGAAAAAAATCAGTCATCACATAAGTCTGTGTCATCTCTTCAAAAGGGGAGTACTGAATCCGAAAGCCTCAAAAGTATTACAAATGAACGAGGGAGCACACGTCTGTCACTTTCCAGAACAGCTGGGAAAGAGAAAGAAAGTAAGGATTCCAGTGAGAAAAGTGTAGAGAAAGATAAGATTGAGTCTAGGAAGTCTAGAGAGGGTAAAGAAAGTGGAGAGAAAGATAAGATTGATCCCAAGAAGTCTAAAGAGGGTAAAGAAAGTGGAGAGAAAGATAAGATTGATTCCAGGAAGTCTAAAGAGGGTAAAGAAAGTGGAGAGAAAGATAAGATTGATTCCAGGAAGTCTAAAGAGGGTAAAGAAAGTGGAGAGAAAGATAAGATTGATTCCAAGAAGTCTAAAGAGGGTAAAGAAAGTGGAGAGAAAGATAAGATTGATTCCAAGAAGTCTAAAGAGGGTAAAGAAAGTGGAGAGAAAGATAAGGTTGATTCCAAGAAGTTTAAAGAGGGTAAAGAAAGTGGAGAGGAAGATAAGCTTGAGTCTAAGAAGTTGAAAGAAAACAAAGAAAGTGAAGAGACAGGTATAGAGAAAGATAAGATGACTACAAAAAAGTCTAAATCTAAAGACGTTCTGGAAGCTTCAGGCAAACCATCTGAAACTGAAAAAGACAGTGTGCCTTCAGGTGCTGACACTACAGAACTATTGTGTGAAGACAGTTGGTCTGAAAATGGTGTGAGTAGTCCACATGGGGAGGTTGCATCCCACAAAAATGATGCAGGTGCTTCTTGTGATAATGAAGATGAGGAAAACATGGCAGCCAAGTTCGATCTGATCAAAGAGCTTGCAGATGAAATGCTGAAGAGCAATGAGGAAGCTGAGGAGAAAGAGGATGGAGGAGATGGTGAAAAAGAAGAGGAGGAAGAGGCTGTTAGTGACAGAAGTGACAATGGTGAAGCTGAGGATGAGGTAGCTTCCAATTCAAGATCAAAAAGGAAATTTCGGGATAGTGATTCTTCGGGGGAAGACAAGTCAAGACTCAAGAAGACGCCTAAAAAGGCAAAAAAAAGAAGCAACTCTTCAGAAAAGAGCTCAAAAGGAGAAGAAAAGGATGATGAGAATGATGATGCACGTAGTGATTTTGAAAAGGTCTCTGATGGGAGTGACTCAAACCAAGTCAAAGACAAGGAAAAAGCCGATGAGGAGCAAGCCAAAGACTCTGTTGCTGCTAGTGATGATGAAGCTTCTAGCTCTGATGTCCTCATGAGTTCTGATGACAATGACGTTGGCACTTCCACTTCGGCACGTCGCAAGAAAAAGAACAGTGAGTATCTCACAGAATAACGAATACGTACATGGGGTGGAAAACACCCTTGTTGTGTGGACATGGAGGAGAGAGATGGTAGTGCTAAAGACATTAAATTCGGAAATAAGATCCAAAGTCTTTTTTGAGATGGTGTGCAATTCAGATGTTCCAAAAGGTGAAAGTGATACTTTTGAGCGCAACTACAGCTTAGTTGCTCTGCAATGTCATGGGTTTGATTTTATACTGCATCGATGTTGTGAGAAGCTTTACTTGTTGTTGGTTTAAATATTTTTTTAGATAAAAAAAAGCCCAAAATAAGAGTGTCTTCCATCAGTGCACAAATAGCAGATGCATGTATGTAAATCAGAGGTGCCGATTTTACGGATAATTCTGGATAATTCTTGAGTTTCCGAGATATAGGGCATTTTATAAATATAGATTTTAATTTTGGGATCCCACATGCTCATTTTTGGCCATTTCGAAAAGTACAGGATTAATTTTTGACTTTGGGGATTGGGGGGGGGGGGTTGTTTTTGTTTGGTAGTCAGTTGGCACCTCTGATAAATTTGTGTCATTACGTTTTTTCAATTTCCAAACAGAGCACCAGCTCCTAGGGGTGTTTGTAAAAATAACATGATATGATACATTATCAGGTCCTTTTTAGGTTATTAGTTTCGGGCTTGCCAATTGTCCAGAATTCCCAGGGACTGTCCCGGATTTGGGAATTTGAGAGCCTTATCACATACTCTCCACCAAAGATGTGAATTTGTTGGTTGTTACATAATCTGATGTTGTGGATTTTTAAAAAAGTTGACAAGCCTGTAGTGGTGGGCAGGTCATTCTAATCTACTTTTATCTTTCCTGTTCTTTTGTCATTATCGTCATGGAAGTACTGTAGTTGTGTACTAGGACATGTTATAGGATATATCTATGCTGCATTAGTGAAAATCACTTTCCCTTTGTCGGTTCTTGTGACACTGATTCATTTCCCTCTAAATAAAGTGTAGTGTCTCTTAGATACTCAGTTTTATAGTGCTCATTATTTCCTCTACTTAGAGTTTTTATGGGGTTTTTTTTTTTTTTTTTTTTTTTTCAGAAAAAGAGTTGACAGCCTCTAAGGAGAAGGTCCAGAAACCTGCAAAGGAGACTAAAAAGGTATCGAAAGTAAGTAAGAAGCCAGTGGCAAATGGGACTGACAAGCCAAAGTCAGCAGCTTCTTCTGCTGTGAAGTCAAAGCCTAAGAGTAATGGAAAAGCCAGCAAGGGTGACAGCAAAAATGCTAAGGAGGATGAGGAGGAGGATGAAGATGAAAAGGAAATTGAAAAGTTGTCAAAGATGCCAGTCATGAGAAAGAGGAAAGTAAAAGATACCCCAGAGGAAGTAGAAGAGGATGTTTCAGAAGTCAAATCAAAGACGTCCAAGCCACCTGCCAAAAGAAATAAACCGGGTAAGTTGGCTTGTATTTTTAAAAAAGTCTTTCTTCCTTGTGTCGTATGTACACTGTCAAGGCTTTAGTAGCAACTATAAGTGAAGATAATGTTTCTGGAAAAAAAATTAGTCGGATGTTTTTAGAAAAAGTGTGGTGATAGAATTCTACCATATTGGTGTAATATTTTGATCAGTGCGTAACTGACATTTGAAGTGGTGAAAGAGCTAAATAAGACAAATTTAAAAGAAATTTAAAAAAAAAATAATTTTTGTATTAATTTTAAGTTTCGTGGAGTTGCCTACTATTTTCATATGAGCTGTCCACACGATGTATCCTCTCAGTTTGCCTCCAGTGTGGTTTTTTGGTTCATGAGGCTGATTAGTTTGCGTTGCAAGATGTAATCTACTCCTTTTTTTAATGTTTATGTTTGTCCACTAGATTGATGATGAAATGCGTCTTTCCTATGGTAATAATGTCGGGGCTAGTCAGTATTTCCAAGTGTGAGACTTGATGAAAAGATACAGGTGCTCTTCCGAGAGGGTCCCTCTTGTCGAGGAGAAAAGTGGTTATGTTGGGCAGAAGTCTAGGACAGTGTCATAATGTTTTTTAAAATGCGCGGGGTGGGGGGTTGAAATGTAACTTTTGTTCAAGAGATTGTATTGGTCAGGTGACCGCTAGGGCACGTTCAACTGTATGTGCATTTCCAATTTGAATGCTGTTGAGATTTTATCTCCTGGGTGGGTGGAGTTCTGCTGAGAAGTTCAAAACCTATGAGACCGCGTACGAGTATACTTGGGTAGCTCAGCTACTTCCCCAGGACAGCGAATGAGTATACATGCGAGTGAAATGACCTAGATCCAAACAAAAGACGGCCGATGTTTCTGCAAACATATTTTCGGTTACATCAACCCAGTGATTAGTTCAATTTAGATATTTTGCTTCAGATTCATAGCAATTAAATGGGGAAAGCAATAAAATGAGTTTAGAAAAGGTATTTCACCAAGCCTGAAGTGCTCAATGAAATTTTTATGAGCAGAGACAGTGTTGACTTAGACAATGACATTGATTATTTGGATCGAAAATCTTCAAATTGTGAAGAAAATTGTGAAAGACAAATCTGAAACCAGTTATCATTGATGGAGGAGCAATTTACTTAGCTCTGGTCCTGGGGAACTGAAAGTCAAGTGTGAGGCTGGTCCTGTAGGTGTTGAAAATGATTAATTTGTTCCTGTGTCCTTTTAGTTGAGATGTGATTGGAGAGGGATGAGATGAGGTAGCAGTCTGGCTTGTAAAGGACCTTTTTCCTGTGTCTTTTATTGTTGTATTTCAAAGAACGTTTTGATGGGAAAAGGTTTGAAGTCTCCATGATAAAAGAATTCTGATTTTTAGAAATGTTTTATCTTGTCCAGGTCCCAAGTGTTCCAAGAAAAACATGGATTTTGAAGATCTGTCATCAGATGGGGATGATGCCAAAAATGATGAGATCGATGAGGAAGAGGAGGAGGATGATGAAGATGAGCCTAAAGTTACTTTCTTTTTGGAGGAACCAGTGGAACAACAAGACGGACTGGTATGATGCTGGTGCTTTCTTCTTTCGTAATTAAAAAATATTTTTCTTACTGTGTAGATGATTGTGGCAGAAGAGTGCTGACAAATACGGTGCTCTTAAGAGGTGAAAAGTGAATGTTTTTAGGGAATGTTATCAAGGGGCTTTCTTTTACAACTCACTTCGCGTTGGTGGCTTTGATGCTGAGCATTCTTCCTGTTCTGAACATTTAGCTGCCTTTCAAAACTTTGGTAAAATTTGATACGAGAAGTGTTCATGGTGATGTTTTGAGTTTTTAAACAAATATAAGAAAAAGGAAAGATACTGTTAAGAGTTTGAGACCTCATGACTCCAATTTTAATTCTAAGACCACATACTTTCTTTATCACAATAGTATCGTGCCTTATATAACACTGTTTCTTGTGTTTTGATTATTATAAAAATTTAGCTGCTTATTTAGATTTTGTTTCATTGTTCCCTTTAGGAGGTTGATGAAGAAAACGAAATGGCTAAAAATGGACTGTTGGATGAAATGGACAGTGATAAAGCTGAAGAAGATGACAAAGACAGTGATGATTCATCTCTTGATGAATTTGGTGAGTGCATTTAAACTCTCTTCCTACCAGGCCAAAATCCACCACTGGTCCAGGGCTTTTCCCTGACCTATTTTGACGCCCCTACCCCACCAAAGGAAAATGTCGAAAAATCCAACTAAACACACACAAACCATATCATATGGCCCATCAAACTGAAGGTTAAAAAATACTCTGTCAGACGTTGATGCAATATTGAAGGTTTATTCCAATAAAATGAGTTTGGGGTTTCAAAAAGTGATTATGCAATGTCAGGTGTCATATGAAATCAACAATTTTCCAGCTTTGAAAGGTCATATCTAAAAAAACAACAACAGCATCAGTCAAACTTCTGAGGTAGGTTGCCTCAAGTAATGCAAAGAAATGCTGAAAGCTATGTATGTGTACCTATCATAGAAGTGAACATTTGAGACATGTGCTGGAGTCAGGGGAGCACTTTTATTTTCGTTTTTACGTTTCTAAGGGGATAGAAAAAAAGCGCTGAAATTACTTAAAATCGTCTCTCAGTGCTATATTTTCTTTCATATCTGCTGACAGGAAGTCTATTTCATTATTTCGAAAATGTGGATCTGCAGAGAATTTTGTGTCTTTTCTTTACTGGATTGGAATAGATAGCAAGCCACTCAAGCCGTATTTTTGCTCTCGGTCCAGCGAGGCTTCAAAATGTGGCTTGCAGTAGGAGAAGTGTTAATTGGGCTTGCAAACAGCAGTATTTCAGAGTGAATTTTTTTTTCATTTTAAAAAATTCAATTCTGATTTTCTTACTGCATGTTAAGTATACAAGGATTGAAGTGTGCTTTGGAATCTTATCCATTTTTTCAATCATCAATCTCGTCAACGTGTGAATTTAAGTGAACTCAACAATTGAATTCCTAATGGGCAGGCGTTTGTAAGAACTGAAATTATTCAAATACTAGCTATAAATTGACGACAGCAGGAGGAGCCAAGGAGTAGCAGTAGAAAGGCTGCAGAAAGAGTCAGGAGCCCAGATGAGGGGGCAAAGGAGGTGAGGGGGTGGGGGCAGAAAGTGGAAATGAAAGCAGACAATAGAACATTGTTAGAGATCAGGAAAGGATGTGAAAGGAGACAATTATAGAGAAGAAAATTTTTTGGTCGCTACCCGGAATCGAACCCGGGACCTTTGAATGAGAGGCCAACACCTTAACCTCTAGGCCACGAGAGCCCCCCTGCCATCGGTGTTTAAATATCTTTGTTACATGGGGAATTCTCTATAAATTAATACGACTGTGCAGGCTCTTGATCACAGCTTACTTTTCCGCCATATTGGCGTACTAATATGCTTGGAAGTTCTTCTTGTCCATTTTTTCAGCATTGCTATTTTGCCCTTTTAAGTTGTCGTTTCAGATTCTTTAAGCTTAAGAATTTGGTTGCTGTTTTTCAGATGAACCACAAAAATCCAAGAAGAAAGATGAAAAGAAAACGAGTTCACAGAATGAAGAGGATGATGAAAAGGAGGAAAATGATGATGATGATGACAGTGACTCTCCTGTTGGGAGAAAAAAACAAATCCGTAGCAAGTTGCTGGATACCAAACTGTCTGACAGTGACTCTGACATTGGCAAGTCAAAGAAAAAGTGAGTATTCAATATATTTTCAACAATCACAGTTAGCTGGACAACTTTTTCTTTCTGTAAATCTTTTTGACTGGTGTTCGAATCCTGTGTGCTTGGTCAGAAATGTTTTAAAAATACGGGTTCTTTTATACCTTCTCCTACCCATGTATGTCTAGTGTAAAACATTCTAGACAGCATAGAAGAGCTGTTTGTCTTGTCAGTTCACTGTTGTCCCCTCTTGTAAAGCCAACATGACATTCTGTGAAAGCAATTATTAAAGTAGCTGTAGAGCTTCGTTGGTGATACTGTTATCTTCAGTTCAACAGCATCTGCATGGTGTAGCAGTTTGATGCTTCATTGTTGCACACAGGAGACCCAAGATCGATTCCTAGGTGGGGAGAATTATTGAGTATCTTGATCTTTCTTGTATCCCTCTCTGCTGTGGTTGGCCCTGTCAGACAGGCTCGGAAGCCCACCTCCTGAGTGATCTAAATTGTGTCGGTGAGGGCCTAAAAATACCCTTTTAAAGAAAATCTTCTGTTCAATTGGATGTGTCCTTGTAACGATGGATTCATTTCTCACTAAAACATTATTTTGCAGGTATTTTGTTTGTGCTCTAGTCTGGTCTTTTAAATGCATTGCTCTCAGTGGAAAGCTCTGTATCTGTGACAAAGTCGTGGAGATAATTGGAAGAGAATGTGTAGCTGTTTCGGGCTTTTTCTCTCTTTGGTAGAATTAAGTTTTACCCATATCTGTTTTCAAGGGGGGGATTCATGGGGCTGAGAGAGAAAACAATGAAGTGCAGGGTCCCCACGGGGTCGGGAAATCGGGAAAAAGTCGGGAATTTTGTGATGGGTCGGTAAGTCAGGAAAGTATAGGGCCTGTGTAATGTGCAGCTATCTAGACTGTATGGTTGATGAATCCTTAAGAGGAAACGTAATTGAGCCGCTGTGACGGAAGTATGTGTGACACGGAGGCTCGATCGGGAAGAATCAAGATCTGCTTTCGTTACCACCCAGAAATTTTCCGGTAATAGTCTGATAGATAACGCAACATTTGTAACATGCAGGTTGTGCATTATGAACGCTGCTGTGTCGCCTTGAAAATAAATCAATATTAAAAATTGCCCTCTGCTGTCGCTTGTGGAAAAAAAAAAAGAAAAAGAAGTTATACAAGCATCTTGACAGGTTCGCCCTCGTGACCGGTCAATGAACCTGTGAGTACCGGCGGTCTGAGTGCTGTGAAGAATAGGACTCCTTTATAAGATACACTCGTGGAAGGGGATGGAGGGGGGGGGGGGGCTGAAGGCAACGCTAGAGGACAAAAACTGAACTTGGAAGCACATTTTTAGCATTTTGATTACCACTTTAGAGCTCTCTGCAAAGCGCGCGTTGATGCAGGCCTTGTGTGGAATCAGGATCCGTCATGCCTTGTTGTAGAACTAAAGTGTTCGCGTTTCATTGGATGGGGTGATTGTAATTTATATCTATATTTTATTAGCTTTCTGTTCAAGATTGGCAGATTTTCAGTGTCGCTGCATCTTGCCTCTCCCCCCCCAGTTCTTACACCTCTCACACTGAATAGGTGTACTTGAGCCATTCTAGTTATTACTCTACTTTGAGTTGCAGCAGTGGTTTTCGTCTTCACGTTTATTATATGAATATATGAATCGTGACACCCAGACTGGTTATTGACAGTCGATTTTCTAGTTCTAGGTCTTTTTTCAGGCTCAAAACAGGATTCATTTTTTTATATAGGGCCTATAGTTTGTTATGTTGGCTAATATGATGATGGGAAAATATAAATAAGTAAGAACAGACTGAAACACCAAAGTGTCTCAAGATCCCAGTGCCACACTGACATGTTGTTGACTGGATATAATGTACCTACATGTGTGTGTGTGTGTGTATTCACAAACATATACATGTATTATATTAGATATAAATGGAGCACACGCTTTCATTGTTATGTAACGTGTTCCTGGAAAATGGATGAGGCCCCTACCTTGGAAAATTGAGAAGCTGGTTTGGCAGTCACCCAGTATTATAGTCATCTATAGTTTGAGGACTATACTACAAAATGTACATTTGCATTCATTTATAGATATTTAACTTTTTATCTTTGATAGATTGGCTTTTTTGGGGATCATTCTTGACGCGCAGCGGCCTGATTTTTCCCTCGAATTGGGGTCTTGAAAAAAATGTGGGGGTCTTGAAAATATTTTCCAGGATTTGGTGGGGACCCTGGAAGTGGACTAAGTGGAACTTACCAGTTACCTGGACGTCCGAATAGTTTTTCTCCTGTTGTAGATTGATGGTGTAAGTTAATTTAGGTGGATGATGGGTGCTCTTTTGTGGAGTACCCCTAACTTTTCAGTGTTTTTCTTTTTTTCTCATGAATAGTTAGTAACCTTATTGGCCGAGGTTCTCTTTTTTAAAACACAGGTTGTGTTTAAGCTTTAGTTTTGAATAGTATTCTCTTCATCAAGAAATTAATTCAATTGTGGTCTTGTTGTTTCAGGAAAAAAGAGGAAGATGAAACATTTAAAACTGGCGAAGAAGGCTCCTCTTCAGGTTCTAGTATAGAGTCTGATCTACCTAGTGAAGAGGAAAGTGAAAAGGATAGTGACGAAGATGGAGACAACAGTGAGCCCAAATCCAAAAAGAAGGGAAAGAAGAAACCAAGGAAGAGGAAAGGAAAAAAGAAGAAAAAGGGTAGTGATGATGATGAGGAAGATGAAGAACAGGAGGATGATGATGAGGAGGAAGAAGGGGGAAAGAAGAAAAAAGGCAAAGGAAAGAAAAGGAGAAGGATAAAGAAAATAGCCAATTCATCTGATGAAGATGGTGAAAAGGGCAGTGATTCAGATGATGTAAGTGGTATTTTTTCTTTCTACATGTTCCGCCTGACATGTTCTTAAATTTTGTATTTTTTTGTGAACACAATGGCATTACAAGTAGCTGTTTTTTTCTTTACATGAACATTTTCGTCTTAGTGCACACAATATTGTTACAGTTGGTGGCAATTTAAAAAAGAAATAATAATTAAATTTTTTTTGGTATGGTTTCTTTGTCAAGCATTTCTGTTATTTTACTGCTGTTCCTGTCTCCCAAAACTTTTTTTCTTGTTCTGAAACTTCTTATATTATTACATAATATTCAAAACTAGTTGATTAAATCTTATGGTTTGTGCTAACTTTGGGTTTGAGTATATCTTCTTGTATAATTTTCGTACTAGAGACGTTTGAAAATGCATACTAACATAAGTTGAAAATTTTCATCTTTACTGTATTAGAACTACTGTTATTTCAAAGCTTCTGAAACACATTTTGATGCAAGAAATATATTTGGTGTGACTTTTACAGTTTAGTGGTTTTTATTTTCGAGAAAATGAGAAATAAAAATATTTAGTTTATAATTGCCTGAAATATTTGTGTTGGTTCTTCTCACAGGATGATCCTAATTCTAGTCAAGCTGGGAAGAGAAAGAAAATCAGAAAAGTGATGTCAAATAAGAAATTGGAAGACTCCACAAGAGCTGCCGCTAGAGCAGAAGAAAAGAGAAGGAAGAGAATTGCAGCCAAACAGAGAGAGGTAAGAGTACTCAAGAGATGGTCATAATGTTTCAGTTTGTTTTACTGGTAGGTTCTCTTTCCTTAGAATTAAGCCTTTTTTAATGGCTTTTTTTTTTTGTCTACTGTTTTTGTATAGTTGGGGGGGGGGGGGGGGTATTCTGTTTTTTACTTTTGATGTACAATTTCTCTCTTTAACACTTTGCCATAACAAGGCTCATATACAGGGTGACTGCCATGCCCGGGGAATTAAAAAATCGCGGAGACCCGGAAATTTGAGGAAATCTGTAAATTGCCCCGAGAAAGTACATAAAACCAAATCTGATAACGTCCGTTCATTTTTGGCGGTCACAATTGTGATATTCGTTCGGCTTTTCCCTGTCTGAGAGAGCGTTTCACTAGTACAGGCGGCTATGGCAGCAGGCGGAAGTGTTTGTATGATACAGAGACTCGATCGGGAAAATAAAGGTCTACTTTCACTTTTGTTACCACCGAGAAATTTGCCGGTAATGGTTTGATAATGCAACATTTGTAACATGCAGGTTGTGCATTATGAACTCCGTGTCTCTGTGAAAATAAATCAATATCTGTCCTGTGCTGTCACTTGTAGCGTCTTGTCGGGCTTGCCATCGGGACCAATCAGTGAACTTGAGCATCACATTGTGAGTAGATTTTCTACTGGTGAGTGTTGGGGTCACCAAAGTTCATTCAAGTTCTAAACGCTGTGAAGTATAGGGCTCCAGAATGGGGGAATTATTGATTTTTTTAAAAGATACACTTGTGGGAGGGGGGGGGCGGGGCGAGGTTGAAGGCAACACCAGACGACAAAAACTTAACTTGGAAAGCAAAGAATTTTGATTGCGGTACTATAGAGACTACAGAGCTCTGTGCAAAACGCTCGTTGGTGCAGGCTTTGTGTTGAATCGGGATCCGTCATACTTTGTAAGCCTTGTTTTTTAACAAAAAGATTCATGTTTCATTCGGTGGATGACTAGATCGTACTTATATTTTAGCTTTCTGTTTAAGATTTGCAGATTTTCGCCCTCCTACAGTTCTTACAAGTATCACGCTGAGTAGGTCTTTCACGTTTATTATACGAATCATGACACTCAGACTGGTTCTTGACAGTCGATATTCTGGTTCTAGGCCCTTTCTCAGGCTCAATACCGAATTCATTTTTATACAGTTTGTATTATAAGGCGAATGGGGGGGGGGAGAAAATATAAATAAGTAAGAACAGACTGAAATACCAAATTCACACCAAAATACGGAAGCCGGGTTGGCAGTCACCCTGCATAATATAGTAAGATATAGTAAAATCCCTTGCCATCAAAGTCAAAGGCATTTTGGGGAAATTCCAAAGAAACTGGGTGGTAAACATTGCCGATTTGCGAGATGGGACTGCAAAGAGTAAAAAAAAAAAAATGGGTGGTGTTTGAAGGGGAGGGGTGCAAATGTGAGAGTTTGAAAATCAGAGAATCAGAATATAATTTTGAAGCAATGATGTTGTGGAACTATCTCTTGGCGCATTTGGTCCCCCCCTCGTTCACTCTCTTTTTCTCTCTCTGTCAGTTTAATATTGAGACGATCACAGATGAGAACAACCCCATGAACTGCCTGATCACAACAAAGCTAATCCTGGAGCCTGGCAAGGAGGAGGGTGATGAGCCCATCGTGCAAGTGAACAAAAAATTGGTCCGCAAGCTCAAGCCGCATCAGGTGGAAGGTGAGTAATGGAGTGATGTTGGTCGACAAATTTGAAGGAATTGGGGAATTTACTTGATAACACCAAATCGGAACTTGAAGGTTAAAATTTCAATCACATGAAATTTGATGATCTGTATTGTCATTATTTGCTTAAAAATTAGACACAGTACTGAATGGGTTCAAAGATCCTAACTGAAACACTTGCATGCATATATTTTCAATTGGTTTTCTGAAGAGTGCTATGCTTCTGATGAGAATGAGACAGTAAGCCATTTTAGACCAGTGTGATCCATGTATGTCAATGTTATGCTTATTTGGACTGGACAGATGTTGAACTGTGCCCTGTGCTCAGTCCTTCCAGTTTTCTGCAAATTTGCAGATATCCGTTAATGGAAAGATTTCCATGAAAATTAATGCTAAAAAATAATTTTTAACAAATACAAAATAAAAATTTTCTGAAAATACTCATAGTCAATAGCTAACCCATACCGGAAATGCTCTTTTATATGAAAGTGAAGACATTGTCTTCCACTTTCACTTCTAAAGCACCAGCAGAGCATCAGCACTGTAAACAAGAAGAAATGTGGTTCATTAGATCTTGGGCCTGCCAAGAAAGAAAACTCTAAAGAGAGCTTGATTTTTTATCAGACTTTATTTGTAAATATTGTTGTGTATTTAAGTTGAACATAAGCTGTCAGCTATTTAGATCTAGCTGTTATTCTATTATGGGTGTACTATAGGCCTACAAGGGAGAACAGCATGGCCTTAGATTATATGGATTCTACATATTATGGTGCAAACCAACAGAAGCAGAAAAAAGTTGAACATTGACTGTCAAGTTATATAGATCTAGCTGTTATACTACTTTTATGGATGTTCAGTACTGGTATACAAGGGAGAAAGCATGGCCTTGGATTTATAATGGACTAACACAAGCAGAAAATTATGTATGCAAGGTACTTATTTTTTCTCACTTATTTTTCTTGTTAGATGTAGGCTTGAGGCGCTGTCCCCCTTCAACCCCTGCCAAGGACCCAAAAATCCTCGAAAAAGTCATCAGCTGCTGGAAGCTCTGTGTGCTACACTGCTGAGCAAACTGTTTTACTCTTGTATATTGTTTTGGTCTCTTATTTCAGTTCTCTTTGCCTCTGACAAACTAGCAATGCTTAGCTTAGTGTAGTTTGATCATTGCCTTTCCCATGTGAAGAGAGGGCAAGCTGCATTTCTGCTAGTCTTGACTGCCAAGTATTAAGCTAACAAGATTTTTCTTTCTTTTTTATCTCTTTTCTTTTCCTTTCTTTCTTTTCGTTTCTTGCCAGGAAAAAAATCACCAAGTCAAGGCAGGAACCTGACTTTGTGCATCCAGTGTTGTCATAAATGTCATTGTTTAAAATTGCATTGTAGTTGCAGATAAGGTTTGTTATGGAATTCAATACCCCATTATGGATGTCTCTTGATATCTTGATACATATTTTTTTCATAGTCATTATCAGTGTGTTTTCTCTTTCTCCCCGCAGCTGTGCAGTTTATGTGGGATTGCATGTATGAAAGTGTCAAAAGGTCTAAAAAAGAACAGGGTGCTGGCTGCATTCTGGCTCACTGCATGGGTCTGGGAAAAACTCTCTCGGTGAGTGTTGACCATGAATTCCTGGCCTCGATGAATTACTGTATCAAATTTTTACCCATTCTTTTTTGTTTTGTAAGTAGGCATCAGACCCTTTCATGGTCTCATTTTGTCATATGTCCGTATATTTATATTCGGAATCTCAGGAATTGAGTATCTTTTCTCATCTTCCTTCCTGTCTGTCCTCTCATCTGTTGTTTTTAGAAGTTGGAACTCATGTTCTTTATTTGGTTATTTTTTTCTTCCCTCCCAGGTGATCTCTTTTGTGCACACAGTCATGACCCATGCGAAGGTCTTGGGCCAGCGCACGTGCCTGGTGGTGTCCCCTCTAAACACGGTGCTCAACTGGCAGAACGAGTGGACCATGTGGTTTGACGAGGAGGACCAGCTGGAGGTGGGCTGCCCCACCCCCCCTCCCTCCCTCCCTCCCTCTCTCTCTCTCTCTCTCTCTCTCTCTCTCTCTCTCTCTCTCTCTCTCTCTCTCTCTCTCTCTCTCTCTCTCTTTTTCTCACACACATACACACATTCTAAAGTATGGCTGATAGTCTTTTACCTTTTGTATCCTATGAAGGTGGGAGGTCTATCATAATGAGTCTGATGAAGACATAAGTGTCTGAGCAACGCTTTTTTTATTCCTTTGTAACAAGCATGAGTTTGCCATGAAAATAAACAATAAAAAGAAAATCTAATTACGTACCTGAAAACTACATGTAGGGAAGAGCTATATAGGTCAACTCAACTCGCCTGTATTTAGAAATGATGGAAATTGCTGCTAGAGACATAAATTTTTTGTACCAAACTTGTTACGTTGTACTGGGTATGAAAACATTCTATCTTCAAAGCAGTATGTGTTAATGAGTGGGGTGCAATTTCGGGTAGATGTTACCCCATCCATTATATAATGCTCTCTAGGGGGTGCTCTGGTCTTCAGCACGTATATTACCTATTTGTGTTGTAAGTGCTGTAAAAACTAAAAAGGTACCCCCCGGGGGCGGTGCCTCTGACTGAAGTGTCTTTAGGCCATTCCCAAAGGGGGAACATTAACCATGTTCTTATGCACAGTAGAATTGTAATTGTAAATGGGCTGATTCATCGATGTCATGCTCATAACAGTGCCTGAACTGCAACAGGGAAGTGCTGCTTTTTCTTTCCTAATCCTTACTATCGTCATTTCCCTCTGCTTCTTTTGTATGTTTGTCACACTCTTGTGACCCGCTATTTCCGGGGTGCCTTGATAGTCGAAGCAGACTTAATGCTGTTGAAGCTTGAGGGGTGAACAGAGTAAGTCTTCATTCCCTGTAAGGATTTCTCTGTTGACATCCACCCCTTGGCTCTCATATGACCTTAAGCAGTTGCGAGCGCCGTAAAACCTCTACTAAAACTAAAAAACGAAAAACTATATTTGTGGTCCATAAATGAATGTTATGTTTTTGTCCCCCCCGATCAGGTGTGGGAGCTAGCCAGCTGCAAGCAGAATCCGCTGCGTGCTGACACCCTCAAAGACTGGCACGAGAGTGGCGGCATCATGATCATTGGCTATGAAATGTACAGAAATCTGACCACTGGTGCCCGTATCAAAAACAAGAGACAGAAAAAAATATTCTATGAGACCCTGGTAGACCCAGGTACTTATGGATTGTGTGCATGTTGTCAGTCTCAACCAAAGGGGAGTTGAAAAGTTACCATGTTTGACTGATTTTGTTATTTTGTGTTTTTTTTGTTTTTACGTTTGTTTGTGTCTGTGTTTATTTCTGTGGGTTTTTTTATTTGTTTTTTTTTTGGGGGGGGGGGGTATTTTTATCTTAAAAATGTTTTCCTAGGCATTACTTAATAAGAAAAAAAAGTTACGTTCATAAAATTCCATTGATTTGTTGGTGGCCTTGCATTATGATATACTGGGTATCTGTAGTCGAAGGGATTACTGAGGATATTGTAGAAAGGGATGCAACCTGGATATGTTGTGTTTATCTTTTATCTGTTTTAAGTTTCCTCAGTCTTCAGTCTAGAAGGAAAGGGGTATATTCAGTGTTTCCTCTCCTCTGTATTTTTACGGAGACCAGTTCCGTACTTGTTCCTCCATCATTATCAACTCCCTCCATAAAAAACTGCGACAGCGTAGTACTACCGAAATTTCGTAGCAAAAGATCCATACTCGCCTTGATACCTTCTTGTATAAGTTACGGATATTTACGGCAATTCTCTTGGCAATAAGTTATTGTTATAGAAAGCTGCCAGATTGTGCTTTTCGTGTAATCGGCCATTAATCTGCTATGCCCCGTGCATTCATTGCGGGTTAGTCGGCAGTACATTTTTACCTGCAGATTGATCAAAATCTGGCCTATTTTTTGTGCCAATTTCCTCCTTTCTATCATTTACTCATTCCTTCTATCTTTGGATTGTTGCCGCGGCTGGAAAATCTGCGCATTGATCAAGTAAATTGACTTGTGATCTGAGACAGAAAATTACTGTCAGAAAAAACTTTTTTTTGTTGCAAATTTGTCTAGATCTAGAGAAATTATCCATGCGAAGATTCTACAGTACGGGAACGTGACAAGGGCTGCTATGAAAGAAATTTATGCTAAACTTCTAAAGTCAAGAATAATTCGAAGTCCTGTTCCGAGGTCGTGACATGCGACATTCAGACGTGAACATTTAGGAAAATTAGGGTATACGCTGGGTAACTGTATTGGGAAGGTACATATCTATTCATTATTCCCTGGTTTGCCTTCATGATCAATGGTGCGATGACAAATTAATTGAATTATAATAGCAATGGAAGGGGGACCTGCTTTAAACATAGCCAGCAATGGAAAGACATGTAGATCTAGGTGAAGAAATGAAACAAGACAAAATGTTGGTTAAAAAATAAATGTTATGGGTTGTAGGCAATCTCTTCAAGCAGGCTCCCTAATACCATTTTCTACCCTCTAAAAGCACTAAATTTCACTTTCTTAGGGGGCATTGCCCCCTGAACCCCCACCGCGCTGTCCCTGACCCCAGGCAGAATTTTCCTTACTTTTCAGCTTCAGCTAATGGAAGCACTGAATATTACAATTTTTTAATCTACTGACTTTTGCATGTATAAGTGTCCCAAATGTATTTTATTCATAAAGATGTCATCTTGAGTAGAAGTCATGGTGTAGAACTTAAGACAGTGTTCTTGTAGTTATTTCCTGTAAATATTTTTTTGGTTAGTTCTTATGAACATTTTACACTGAATTTTCGATGTATGGGTACATTGATTATTAATTTTTTTCAAAGTCTTTATTTCTTCAAAAGTTGAAGAGTTAGGATACTACTTAATTTGTCCTTAAGGAAATTCAGTTCACCAAGTATGCATGTTCACTTTTCTTGGCTACCTTGCAATTGATTTATTTAAGTAAAGTTGAATCTGCTCTAACCACCTCCTGTCGAAGACAACCACTTGAACAAATGATCACTTCCTCATTCCTATCCCCCCCCCCCCCCCCCGTGTTTTTCAACTAATTGCCAAAGCCAACAGCAAGCTGACTTCTGAATGTCTTCAATTACATTGTTTATTTGGAATGAATCTTACACAACTTGACTGATTTTTTTTTTTTTTTGTCCCTCAGGTCCTGACCTTGTAGTGTGTGATGAGGGCCACATCTTGAAAAATGAGGCCTCTGCACTCTCAAAAGCCATGAATCAAATGAAGACGCGTAGGAGGGTGGTGCTTACCGGGACCCCTTTACAGAACAATCTCAATGAATGTAGGTGCAGAAAGGAATAATATTGATCATAATTGCCTATATTTACAGCGCATATCCATACTTTACAGCATGCTCCTTGTTCTTTAGTCCTCCCCGGAAGCACCAATTAAGTGTTCAAACAGTTATATACTGACAAGATCTTTTGTCGCTTATAGCTTGGTACCCAATCCCACCTGATTGGAGTGAGGAAAAGTATTTTTCCCCAGGGATGAATGTCAGGCCCTTGATGGGATTTGAATCCATGACCTTTTCAGTTACAAGCAGGACAACCCTTGAAAATTAAATGAAAAGGCTTTTTCATTTTTCCTTTTATCAAATTTTTTTAGGCCAAGTGAGTCAGCATCTACTTGACCTGCTTTGGAACAGTCGTATAAAATGGAATGAGCATATTTATAGTTTGAAAGTCAGTGTATTTATGGAGTTAAAAATGGTGTATTTCGTCAGTTCATATTTTGAGCTTTCTCAAAGCTGTTATTTAAGTGCGGTAGCTTTTATGGTGTATGCCCGTGGGCTGCGGAGAATATTTAAATGTGTTGTGAGTTTAAACATGTTGAGTTACTGTTGCTGTATTGTTTTAAGTACATTCCAACTTTCAAACCTGCTTCAATGGCCTCCTGTCCAAGATAATCTCCTGCACTAACAACCACCCCCCAAAAGGGTTTTTTAAATATTGTCATGACACTGTCCAAGATGTCCACCTGTCTAAGATATCCAATTTTCTCCCTGACAATTGTTGGCTGTCTTGGACAATGTTGTCTGTGATTGTGATTATTTTAGACATGCTATATTGTATTTGTTTCTGTGTAGATCACTGCATGGTGAGCTTTGTGAAACCCAACCTGCTGGGAACACGCAAAGAGTTCAACAATCGGTTCATCAGCCCCATCGGGAACGGCCAGTGTACGGACAGCACCCCTCGCGACGTCAAACTGATGAAGGCTAGAGCTCACGTTCTCCACGAGATGCTGGCTGGTTGTGTGCAGGTAATGGGGGGATGTTTACAAATAGCTATTTTCTTTTCTGTTGTGCAGTATTAAGTTGTTTGCAGTCGCACAGCCAGCAGTACAAAATACCTCATCTGGTCACTCAGCCAGGAGAGCAACTGCAACAGACTTCTTGGCCTCGCGCAGAACTGCTCCAGGTGACGGTACGGATATTTTTCACTGGCACATTATTGCGGCAAGTGACTTCAAAGTGTTAAAGAAATGGATGATGGGCATTGCGGTTATGCTGGTGTTTAGATGGTGCTTAGGTTCTGGGGGGCGGGGTTTCTAAGAAGTCAGCTTAAGAACTACAGTTGTGTAATCTGATGTTTTAATGTTGGATGTCACTGATAGGGTTTTGAATTAGTTGACAAGCTTGCTAGGGCATTCAGACACTTATTCTTACAGATGAAAAAGAAGAAAAAAACCCAACTCAAAATGAGGTATCCTCTGAGATATTTTTTGTGGGTATAGTTCAATAACTGCACAGTGCTTGCAACATTGAAATCAATCCTGCCTGGTGAGACTCCTCAAATTCTATGGAGATTCTGTCTCTGTGGGGTGGCAGCATGCAAGTATTTATTTCTATTGGAATTTTACTCATTTTTCTACTCCGAGCCATGGGCGGCAGCGCAGCTAAAGTGACCAGTATATTTGTGTCTTTACTGAAAAATTTTGCTTTCTGGGCTTAAAACAGTTTGCATACTATCTTAAACTTTTGGTGTCCAAAATAAAGAGGTTTGGCTGCTGTTACAGAGTTCATTTATCAACTTAAATATAGTTTGATGCTCATAACGAAATTTTTCTGCCACCACAGAGGAGGGACTACTCCGCTCTCACCAAGTTCCTGCCACCGAAGCAAGAGTATGTGATCTCGGTGCGGTTGACCGACGTCCAGGCAGATCTATACTACAAGTACATGGAGCTCTCCGGTCAGGGGGTGGACGGTGTGTTCAACAACAAGGGAGCACGACTCTTCAAAGACTACCAGAACCTCATGAAGATATGGACTCACCCCTGGGTGCTCAAGCTGGCTGAGATCAGAGACGAATTGAAGGTGAGGTGGAATTTTCCAGCTGAAAAATGATTGTGGAGTAGTCGGTATCCTCAGTCTAGTCTTGGTTTGGATTCGAAGTTACTGGTTATGTGCTCGTAGTGGGTTTTCCGCTTTCCTCCTTCTTGTGGCATTTATTCTACCTTGTGGTTGTGTAGCACTCTTGTCTCAGAGCTGAAGTTGTTAGTTTATGATCAAGTTTTTTCAGTTTGTGTTTTGAGTGGGGATTTGGGGAAGGCTTCACATAATATGAGATGTAATGCTTTTTTTTTTTTTCGTCTTTTGATCATTAGGCGGTTGTTGCGAGTTTCATTGTGCTCCTACTTTCTTTCAGGTTTTTTATTATTGTAAAGTGTGGTGAGGTATACCATTCCATGTTCATGAACTACTACTCATACCGTGCAAACTGGATATGGACCTTTTGCTCTGATGTTAACGTGGGGGGGTTGGTGGGTGCTCTTGTGTGGCTTGCTCCTTCTTTCCTAAAAAAAACATCCATCCTAATCTCTCCTTCTTCTTTTCTTTGTCTCTAGTAACACTTCATATCTTTGGCCCTTAGAATATAATCCATTTGTGTTGCAAGTGCTGTGAAATTCTTAATTAAAACTTCCCACCTACGCAAGGTGCAGACCGCACAACACTTATCCCCACAGACCAGGATGCAGGTTGACTACATCAGTACTACACCTGTATCTCGGCAAAAATACCCCAACCGTTATGAAATCTTCATCCTGAGAAAATTGAAAGTGACAATCACATGTTCACCAAAAAAGGAATTAGAACCGGAACTGAAAACATTAGATCTAGTCTAGCTAATTCCTCACCAGAATTCTCATCATTGCGTAAGAGTAAAGCAGCACTCTTGCTAGGTCTACTCGACATTTTTTTAAAAAGTTACCCCAATTGTTGTATACAGATTTTCGACCTCAAAGGCCACACAAACCATTCAAAAAGGAAATTAAACTCTTAACAATTGCGCATGTCGAAAAGGAGATAATTTCTGCAACTTTTTTGGTTGCTACATCACACCGTCGCTGATCGGCGTCCGGGGAGAGTGTTAAACTAAACCATGATGTTTAAACCTGAACTTTATGTCCACAGATGAAGTATGATGACGAAGATTCTTTCATCGATGATGATTCGTTAGACGAGCGGTCCTTCTCCAGCTCAGGCTCGTCAAGTGACGATGACAAAAAGATGAGTGACAGTGGTGGCGAAGGGACCAGTGCTGGGGCGGGACAGAAGCGAGGCACCCGCAGGACACGAGCAAAAGCCAGGTATTGACATCTCGTTTTCGGACTTTGTGGGTGGGAGTTACATTAACTCAAAACGTGCTATGTTTGTATGTTTGTAGTCAGTTAGTAAGGGTCTTGAGTGATGAGAGAGAGCACTGTTGGAACATTCTAGGGCGGTGCGGGTAGTTCCGGACGAGTTAGGGTGGAGCGCAGAAGGCGAGTGAGGGTGTAATGTGTTAAGACAAAATATGTGTGCATATACTCTTTAGATTAACGCATTCTGACTATCGCACCGCAGTTGAAAACAATGTACGTGTTAAATAGTAAACGCGGCATTTCATTTTATGAGGTATGTTTTTAAAGGAATATAAAACTTTGCCTCTGACTTTACATCCTTTCAATGAGAGAATTCCAGATAGGTGGAGCTAGATGAGAAAAGGACCTAGCGAGTTTTTTTTACCTTCCTTCATATGTGCTCTGATCATAGAGATCTTGGTTGAATATACATTTGAAGTGGTGAGTTTAAGTTTTTTTCTTTACAGACGGCAGACTTTCCTTTGCTCTGATAAGAGATTGATGTCCTGATCATAGAGATCTTGGTTGAACATACGCGGTTTGTCGGGGGGTTTTTCTTTACAGACGGCAGGCAGGGGAAGACAGTGACCCTGAGGAGGTCATTACTGAGTGGAAGTCAAAGACTCGTGGTCCGGACGAAGACGGCCGGCCTGAGGAACCGGAGAACCAGGTGTCTAGTCAGTGGTGGGCACAGTATGTCACAGAGGACGACAAGAGCAAACTGGAGCTCAGCAACAAACTCACTCTTCTCTTTGAAATCTTGCGTATGTGTGAAGAGATCGGAGACAAAGTGTAAGTCTTTACCTTAGGTCGTTTAATATGTTATTGCGGTTAATCCCACATGATAATGGGTAAGTTTGCTTCATCGAACACGGAACTCAATTTAGCAATTGATTGCCAATAACTAGATTCTGTTTGTAAATACAACAAACTGAGGGCAAAAGATTTCTTTGTACAGAAAAAGTATAGCTGCATGTGAATCTGTGAAGAGTTTTATTAAGTGCACCTAATAGAAACATTACAGCGAATACGAAATATGAGGAACAGCGGTTGTTATTGTGGTCCTTTGGGTTCACAAGACGCGGCAGTTTTCGTCGTAGCAGCCTCTTGCCTTCTTTGGCACATAAGAAAAATTATCGAATGATGCTCGTATTATGGGTCACGAGGGTTTACTTTTGGTTTATTTAAATCCAGTGTTCAATGGGTGCCCTGATGTGGTTTGCTCTTTATGCTTCTTTTACTGTTTTTTTTTGGTAGTCGGGTGCCATTATGGTGCAGGTACTCCGTAAACTGAACTGCAATTTTTACTCTTAGATCCGTCATGAGCAAGTGTAGCCAAGTCGCAGGCTGGATTACACTTTGCAATAACTTACCGCAAAAATGCAGTGGTGAAAATTATCTGTTCTGGTCACTTGGCGCAGTCTGCAACAGGTCCGAGAGGTCTGTTGCAGTCGCTTTCTTGGCTGGGCGACCAGATGGGGCATTTTGTACTGCTAGCTGTGTGACCGCAAAGTGTTAAGCAGTTTCGAATATCTCGCGGGCCAAAGCATGAGAAATTTGGGTAAAAGAGGTTGAAAAAAAAACTAAGTTCCCTAGTTAGCCTAAAAATTGACGCTACAGCATATGTCGCTCATGGGATAAATATTAAATCTGTTTCTGCCATCTGGGCTGAAAACTAAACATTAATTTTAATTTCTAATAGTGGGCAATTTTGTTTTCCTTATCTACGAGGTGCTTTATTAGTTAACGATAACTGGAATGAATTGTAGGCCAGATTGAAACTGCTTCTGGGCCAGATCTGGCCTGATGGTCATAGTATGCCCATGCCTGTCCTAGATCTTTGAGTTTGTTTTTAGGGCATCAATGAAATGGGATAAACAGATCATTGTCAGGTAGTTTTAGAGATCAAAGAGGTTATGAACACAATGTCATCTCCATACAATGCGACTAGGTTGTTAAGCTATGTCAAGTACTCTTGCATACTTTTGCACTAGATAAGAACTTTTCCTTTTATCAGCACAGCCGCCTGGATTCATAATCTTCACTCTTTTAAAGTCTTTGAGTTTTGTAAAAAAAAAATTGTTCTGCTTTTTATGTCTAGAATGTTCTTTGGCAATGGTTCCTCATTTGTTCTGTTTTTCATTTTCAATTTCAGATTGATTTTTAGTCAGAGCATCCTGTCTTTGAACATTATTGAGAACTTCTTGGAAAACATAGATTCCAAGTTTCAGCAGGAGTGTGATGAGAAGCCAGAGGGAGAAGAGGAAAAGCCTGTAAGTTTGCAGGATCAATATGATGGAGAGATTTTAAAAAGGTACACACCCTTTTGCAGGATTGCTAATTGTCCTGAATTTCCCAGGGCTGTCCTGGATTTGGTAATCGGGAATTTGAAAACCATATCTATAAGGCGACACCGAAATCAGCCCCCATTTTATGTAATTTTGTTTGCTGTGACATAGTCTGATGTTATAAATGTAGATGTCTGTGATTGGGGTTAGAAGTTGACAAGCTTATGTTTGTTGTTGTCCTATTCGTCGAAAATAATTTGTGACCTCTATGCAAGCCAGTCGTTGGGTGTTTCTCTTGTAAAATTCTTGTCAAAATAACTGATCAACTGCTAAAAATGTGTTTGGTCGTTGAGTCTAAGGTTAAAGTTGATCAGCATTTGATATTTTTTGTTGTTGGACAGGAAGAGGAAATGTTTGGCCGTCAGTGGACTAAGAATCTGGACTACTATCGCATGGATGGCTCTACCAGTGCTCAGAACAGACAAGCCTGGGCTCAGAGCTTCAACGATCTGGAAAACTACAGGTTAGGCTGACTGACTGATCACGTTAAAAAGTTTTTTTCTAAATGTTTGTATTTTAACAGTTCTGTGTAGGTTTAATTGTTCAAAAACTGCCCAGAAAATAGCAAGGCTGAGGGATATTTAAGAACATTTGTTTGTATTCCATGAAATCAGGTTTTACATTTTTTAAAAATATTTTGAGTTGAAAGTGTGTGAATAGAGTGTTGTAAACCATCGGACCAGCTGTCCCGTTAGTATGCTACCATTTTTCTGGAGATACTGGAATTCTAGAATGTCCGCTCCCTTTTATGTCAATGGTTGTTTTTGTTTCTTGGGGTAGGACCTGTAAATGGTAGGTATCTTAGCATCAAGATCACTTCTACTTCTATTTTTCTCACTATTACCTTTGACTGGCCGTGGTCTAGTGGTAAGGTTCTCAAACCTGAATGAAAGAGGCCCAACGTTGTGTCCTTGGGAAAGGCACTTTACACATTTTTCTCACTGCACTCTGGTGGAATGGCTATGGGCAGCAAAATATCTTGTCAGTTTGTAGAGTGTAATCCATAGCTTGCATTTGTGTGCTTCCTGGGAAGCTGAGAATGTTTCTTACTTGCAGTCTCTGCCGGAGTAATAATAGTTGTGAACCGCGTAGATAATGCCAAACAGCCAACAGACAGCGTAATCACTGTGCTCTTGGTGTGTTCCAGGGCTCGGCTGTTCCTCATCTCCACTAAAGCAGGTGGTTTGGGCATCAATCTGGTTGCTGCTAACAGAGTCATCATCTTTGATGCTTCCTGGAATCCCTCACATGATGTGCAGTCTATATTCAGAGTGTACCGCTTTGGACAGACGAAGCCATGTTATATATATCGGTTCTTGGCTCAGGTAAGAACACTGTTGAGCTGTTTCATGTATTTAGAGTATATTTTTATCTCATTCTGCTTCTTGCTTTTTTTTCTTTCAAATTTTAAATTCTGCACAGTAGAAATGACAATCAAGATGGTTTGTCATTCTTTTTAAACATTTTGTATACATAGTGCTTCTGAATAAGAATATGTAAATTATGTGCTTCTTGTTCTCATGAACTTTCTTCTGTCATTTAAAAATCCATGAATAAACATTTCCATGGATACACATGTGAATACAGTATGGTCTCGGACCTCTCAAACAAGGATTTACAAATTCATTCAAATGTATGTTTCACCAAGATGTCTAAGATCAGGAGATCAGTCTCTGATGAGGGCACCTAAGAAGAGAGGTCAGAAACTCGCTGGGAAGTCCTTTTCTCAGAGAGAGTATCAGACAGATAGAGCTAGATGTTTAGTAGAGGTTTTAGTTGCGAGCGCCGTAAAACCTCTACTAAACATCTAGCTCCATCTGTCTCATACTCTCTCTGACATTCGATGGGATACAAAGTTTGTGGCAAAATTTAAGAAATTTTTAACTTGCCATCTTTTATAGTCAGTCCATTATATTCCAAGGACTCAAACGTTCTTAATGTGACACAGATATGGACATTGACTGTGCTGGGATAGCACCTGTATGAATGCCAGTTTATGTGTAAACCTTAATCTAAAGAGCCTATATTTGCACGTTCATGTACATATATTTGGCATAAAGATGAAGTTATTGTAAAGTGCCTAGAGCTGTGTTGCACAGGAATGAAAGCCACATAAATTGGAAATCAGCTTTATTATTATTAGACAAAGATTTAAGACTAAGATTTGTCCGTTTTTGTGACAGGGATCTATGGAGGAGAAGATCTACGAGCGACAGGTGACGAAGTTGTCCCTGTCACAGCGTGTAGTGGACGAGCACCAGATTGAACGCCACTTCTCTGCCTCTGATCTCAAAGAGCTCTATAACTTCACTCCAGACCGCTGGAACGATGGGAAAGACAAGCCAACATTAGCTCTGCCTAAGGTATGAAGTGGCAGGAGAATGGGTTGATAGTTGTTTTTTTCTTCTTTTTAAAAAAATAGTATTTCATTATTAATTGGTACTAGTGCAATGAGATAAGAAATAGATTTTTCAGGAGGGAAAGCTTGCTAGACCTGCCATTTGTGGTCTGATCTCTTAGTAAGTTTTCATTTTGATGTGAAACTTGTTTGTTGTGGGAGGTTTTTGGGTGCTCAGGTGAGGTTAGCAAGTTCGTTATCTTTACTGCATTGTTATTTTTTTAGTCTGTCTCGCAGCGAATTATAGCAGTTCTTGTGCTCACTTTCGGGAAACTACGACAATGGTGTTTTGTTGTTTTTCAGTACTTCATAACTTTGGAATCCTTAAAATGTCAGTAGCGTAGTGGTTAGCTCAGTGGACCCGTAATTGTGAAATTGCAGGTTCAGGTGTTTGAGCCTCAGCTGTGTCCGATTTTGTGTCCTTGGGATTGGCACTTTACACAAATTTCTGATCTGCTCGGTCCTTTGGAGATGGACGTTAAACTCATAGGTCCTGCCTCTTAACGGGAGGAGCGACCCTTGAGGGCTATTTTCTATGTTTGTTGCCCGAGATCAACTCTAAGTACACATATATAAGTTAGGCATAGTAAAATCTCTTGATACGCAATTTTATTTTGGCATGGCTACAGCGGTTGCTATGGAAACGACCGCCATCTTGAAGGTGAACAAGGAATTTCAAATCCCTCAGGCTGTCTTATTTACTGACCAAATTTGACCAAGTTTGTTTGGTGAGAGTATACCTGAACTAGACCCTCTATCAGCGTAACAGCGATTTTTTTTCAATAAGTGCAAAAGAAGAAAAGAATTTGAGAATTTTACCAAAGTATAAATAAACTTTTCTAAATTTAGGTTGTGTAATCGCTTGCCAATGGAAAAGTTAGTTTTTTTTTCGCAAATATCTCTCTGTTACATTGATGGCATCCCTCCCATCTATGTTTCCTGCAAGATTCATGTCAAAAGGATGAAAACTAAGGAAGGGGGGGAATGACATTTTGCGAAAAATGACGATTATTGTGAAAATTCACTATATTCACCCTCATGTTTTCAAAGGCAATTTACGAGGAGAATAAAGACTTTCTCAATTGTCTCCATGCAATTTTTAGACAAAGAACTGGTTGATCTTAAAAAATCAGCCAACGTCTCAATGTGCATAGCCTGACCCAAAATCTGCAAAATCAAGGGTCGCTCCTCTCCTTAAATAATCTAATAGTGTTGATAGGGGTGTTAAGCCTACGTTTCACCAAACCTTAGAATGTTCAATGACTAAATTGCAGCCAAGTGTATGATGCATGCACACTTCAGGCTGTGTTATAATCCCAGCTCTCGATAATGTTGCTTTGACAGTATCTTTCTAGTGTTAGCAGTAAGCATAACATGAAACAATTGTGAGAAATGTTGATGAAGTTCCAGTCCACAGTAAGAATCCTGTCGCAATTGACAGCTGTATCTTTCTTACTCTGCTTTTTCAACCTTTGCTTAAAGGAAACAGGTCTCTGGTAGAAACTAATGAAACACATAGACTTTCCTTTTGTCTGTGGAAAAGCTAACTTACAGTTTTCTTTTTTTCCATATTTGGTTTTTGTTATGAATTTGTTAACACAAAGACCGTCATTGATAAGCCACAAATAGCTCTGGTTAATTTGGACATCTCTCTCATTTCTCATTTCTACTTCCACTTGTAACTCAGGATCCCCTGTTGGCGGAGATCTTGACCAACAATAAGCAGTGTGTGGTGTCCTTCCACGAGCACGACTCTCTACTGGAGAACCAGATAGAACAAACGTTGACAGAAGAGGAGAAGAAAGCTGCCTGGGAAGAGTATGAAAATGAGAAGAAAGGAATCATTGTCAGAGGTATGCTTCTTATTCTTCCACATGTTTTTGTTGTTTGTAATTCTGAATGTTTCGCAAAGATTCATGGAAGTTTTGGGGTCTCTTCCGATTTCGAAATGATTTGATAGCTCATGATTTAAGACTGGATATGTTTTCTGCAAAGAGTTGCATATGTTAGAGGTCATCTATTATGTATTTATGTCTACCTGGTCCCGATAAGACATGTTTATGCCTACCAGGTCCCAATTGGATTTCTTTCTTGCACAGTCTTGCGTATATGGAGGTCATGTATTATGTATTTATGTCTACCAGGTTTCAATAGACATGTTTTCTGCAAAGAGTTCTGCGTATGTTTGAGGTCATCAATTATGTATTTTTGTCTACCAGGTCCCGGTATGGAGAGAACGGCCAGCTGGCCGATGATGGCTGCGGCGCAGATCCTCAGCAGAGAGCAGATCACAGCCACAGTACAGACCCTCAGGCAACAGGTGGGAGAAAGCTTCCCAATTGTGTTGTCACTACTGCTAATACACTTGAAAATGTCCAGGGCGGCCACCCATTGTCGGGGATAAAAGTGGTGGTCTTAGACTCTGTAGATGTTTGTAGACATTGTCATTATAATACTCCCCCCAAAAAAAGGAAAAAAGTGGCAGGGCGATGACAATTTAATTGAATTATAGTAGCAATGGAAGGGGAACCTGCTTTTAAACATTGCCAGCAATGGAAAGATATGTAGGTGAAAAAAATCAAACAAGACAAAATGTTGGCAAACAAATAAATGTTACTGGTTGTGGGCAATCCTTTCAAGCGGGCTCCTGAATGCCATTTTTAACCCTCTAAAAGCACTAAATTTCAATTTCCCACCGGGACTCTGTCCCTGGACCCTTTTCCTTACTGTTCAGCTTGAGCTGGTGGAAGCACTGCCATTGGTGCACACATTGAGTGGGTTCAGAGAAAGTTGAGCTGAAATGTCTTTGAACATACACAATATCCTTTCATTTCCTTTGAGTAGAATATTTTGCTGAAAAGGTTTTAGTTTTAGAGGGCTGAATACATTTTTTTCCTTGTATTTAATTTGCTTTATATGTTATATATTGTTGTTAAAACCTGTCAGTCATTGTAAAAAACAGATATCAGAACAGGGATTTAATCGAACTTGATGCTAAGAATGGTTAATGGTAAAGAAGCTGATGATTCAGAAAAGTACGTTTTTAGCTAATGTTAGATTCTCTTTTCAGGATTTAAAATAATACTCTTTATCTACGGCAAGCCGTTCCCTGCGGCTCGCAGTCGCAACCGGTGAGCCGCTGACAGTGTCTGGAGCACATTCTTTACGATGATTTCGAAATCAAATTACTTTTCAGCAATTGCCAAAAACAGGTCTCTTTTATTAGCAATGCCAATCGGGCTTTCCCGCGCTGCGAAAATTTGGTCTCCGTTTACGGGCGATTTTGCAGACCCGGCCGAAGCGTAGGTGACTAACTTTGTCAACCTCGGTCTGCTCTATTTCCGAACCAATCGGAATGAAACTCGGCAACCAATCAGAAAATAGGGCAAACTAGTGATATGTGGACGTTGAAGTTCGTACACATAAATTAACCTATACTTTTGGTGTCTGGAACACTTTCGTATCGTGTACACCGAAAACTATAAGGAGTTTGAATTTCAACGCCGAGATGGTAATAGATCTATCTATCCTCTATAGTGTGCTCAAATTTGAACGTTCTGTGTCAAGTAGTTGTTTAGACCCGATCATAAATGCACGACTACCCCCCTGTCCAAAGCGGCTTCGCACGGAGACCGGCCATTTTCCCTTCACTCTCGCAGCAAATGTATGTGACCTACAAATCCCCGCATGACTATTCCGGGCCCGTTCATTGGTCACTTGAAATAGGGCAATGGCGGGTGCGCGCATCCGGTTGTTTTTCTCTCTATTCCCCTGTAACATCGCAATGGGGGTATTCCGAGGCGAGGTTATCTCGTCTCAGGGTGTTCGCGTCTCAACGGGGAAAAAGAATTTTTAATTGTACGGCATGCTCGATTGAATTAACTTATCTTTTACGGTTGGCATGGTCTAAAGTCATCATAAAAAGCTTTGCAATTATTTAGTCACGCTGCCGACATATATTCTTAAAGATCCCATGTTGTGATAAGATGCTATAAATAAAATGGACTCATCCCGACACCCCTTTTTCGCGAAATCGTAATATGTACACCAAAATTTTAATTATAACAAAATAACTACGAAATTGGTAGTAAATCTGACTGCAGAAATGATTTCTACACTCAAAAACACATCAGGTAGCCAAGTTTCTCTCGAACACTCCGATTAATTACCGAGATATCGTAGATTTTCTTACAGAATCTGCTACTGCGTGGTCCACTTTTTGGGAGTATTTTCCTATATGTGGGTCTTCCATATTTTGCCGACCTTTACAACCCAATAACTTTTTTATTTTTGAACCGATTCTTAAAATTCAAGAAACATAATTCTTAGAATTGAAAATTCTTTCCTAGGTACCCAAAAAAAAGGGCTAACGTGAAAATTTAAATTTTCATTGGCATTGCTACTTTTATCGGGAGTTCATTCGTTAGAGGAAGAACTGTCAAAATGGGTTGACTTGTCTTGATTTAATGACCCATTTAGTGACGTTTTTGTCATTTTTAGATTTAGTACCAAAATAGGGGCCCGGTATAGTGGGTTTACCCCCCCCCCCCCCCCCCCCCCCCCCCCCACGGAGATTAAGAGTTAAATTGTTTTTAATTTATTCTTTTGGGGGGAGGGGGGGTTCTCATGCTTTTACTTTAAGGTCACATTCATTCTTACAGAAGGTGAATTTAGTTTAAATATCATAGCTGCCACTTTTCTGCTAAGTAGCGGAAACTCCCCTTCATCTAGCTTTTCCCACTACTTTCCTCCGCTGGGTCGCCCTCGGTCGCAAATTGCGATACTTTATTGTTTTCACGGAAAACACCGAATCCGGAGAGGCAAAAATGTGGCTTGTGCATGTCCACCCGTAGCTTTCTACATCCGTTCTTCTGTGCCTGCCTGGCGCTAGTTTCACATTTGTTTATTGTGGAGCGACTGTCAATTGAGCTTCAGGATGGTGGCGCGCCGAGTTGTCCTTGAAAACGGCGGAAATTTGAGAGAAATTGATGCAGAATGCAAAAAAAAGGAGCTGGAATGAGAAAGAAGCAGACAGTGTGCGACTTGAAAAGTTCATTAGAAAATTGAACCAGCCGCTTGCTGCACTTTGCGTTTGGTGCGATAAAGAAATCGTGTAGTACACTGGCAAAGGTGTTGATTCCTTGATCCAATACTGCTCTACATCGATGTACAAGTTTTAAGTAAAAGAAATCTTTTTATGAGACACCAACTGACGACTTGTTAGTCAACTTAGTGTCTTGGGTTTTTTTTTTTCAAATTCATTTTTAATTCAGTAGCCTATGGTTAACAAATATGACAGTTTTCCCTTCCCAAAACATAGGCTAGATGTTCCAAAATATCACCTCTGGGTCTCGCTGGTTTTATGCCGGCCTTCGGAGAGAGCACGTACGCCTTCGCGTGAATTTCCTCCTTTTTTTAAATTCCTGAGTGGCAGCTATGAAATGTAAGAACTTTTTAGCTTTGATTTCCATGCTTGCCAGATGCTACTCTATGTGTGAGAACACTTTAGTTGTCACTTTAAGAGTTTGGTTTGTCTTATAGTTTATTGTTTTTTTGTCATATGTCTCTGGATGTTGTTGTTGGCTGTCCCCAGTTGCCGGATGTCCCAGAAGAGTTGTTCCAGCTACATGTACAGCAGGCCCTGCGCCGGATGGTTCAGCTCAAGCAGGAGGAGATGAGACGAGTAAGTTGTGTGGCTCATTTCTTGTTTTGTTGATGATGTATTTTGAGGCTTGCCAACTCATGAATTTCCCAGGACCTTCTTGAATTCAGCTATGGGGAATTTGAGTGCGAGCTGTATGATATGCTGCACCAAAGCCATTCCCACTTGGTATAATTTTTGTTGATGTTGTTGTGTAGTCTGATGTTGATGTTTTAATTTTGGGTGTCCCCGATTAGGTTTTTAAACAGCTGGCAAGCTTGTAGTCTTCTCAGAAACCTGAACTCACTAAATCTGTTTACACCTTTGGCTATTTTGGGTTGTATTTTTAAAAAAACTTTTTTAGTGCCTTATATAGTGGAAGGAAAAGAAATTAAATGAGGTAGTGCTTCATGAAGCCCACGTGGGATGTTCAATGATAAAAACAATCAGGAAACGACAAATGCAGTTTTTTGGACACCTGAATAGACATAAGGGTCTTGAACCTTTTGCTTGGGGAAGCTAAACAAATGGGAAACAGGGAAAGATCAAGGAAATGTGGCTTTTTTAAGAGCATCCAAGCAAAGAAATGAATGGAGAACCATGATCGTCAATGTCTGTCACAGATCTGGCACTGGATGATGATGATGATTTAGTGCCTACATTCTGTTTACATGTTTCTGCAATGTTTCTTTGATGCTCAGTTATCATTGGTTCTTTGGGG